AATAATTTCGAAAAAGGAAATGCTCGAAAAATTAAAATTCCGAAAAATCGGTATTACGAAAAAAAGTAAATCGAAAAAAGTAAATCTCGAAATGGAAAATTCCGAAATTGGCAAATTTCGATAAAAAATCTCGAACTAGTTGCAATGTAAAATATCGATGTAGCGATGAAGGAATATGTATATTTATAATTAAAATTTTATTTTAAAAGTTGATGACAATGAACTAAAAGAATAGAAAAAATAACTAAATTTATGATGAAGAACGATTACTTGCCGACTCCAATCAATAGTGAAAGTCCTTCAAGAAATTCATCAAGTTTTATTTTCTTTTGATTGTTCGGAATCGTAATTTTTTGACATTTTGCATATCGAGATTTTACTTTTTCGACATTTCAAATTTCTGGATTTTTAGTTTCGAGATTTTTATTTCGAGATTTTCTTTTATCGAAATTTTATCTTTCGAGATTTTTTTTTTCGAGATTTTTCTTTTCGAGCTTTTTTTTCGAGGTTTTTACAGCAATTCGAAAGATTAATCTTTTTTTTATGGTATTTTACAGCAAAATATGTTTAGTCAGTTGTACAAATGTATTATTCTATGTAATAATTCATAAATAATAATCCAAGACACCGTACGTTTTTGTAATGTTCTCAAATGCTTTTCTATCATTGAAGTTTGTTCGAAAGAAGTGTCATTGGATTCTTAAAAATGATGACTCACAAACCGATGGTGGCAAATCAATTAGACCACTCACATTTATTCGACATGAATGTTTCAATCAATATACATAGGACACTACAAAAGTTTTTTCCTCTGACTCTTCGAAAGTTGCATCTTGAGGTCAAACTTTCTCTTATGATGCATAGAAATATTTAGAAGTATGTGAAAGATTTCAATCTTCTACATCTTGTGCAACGTCTTATTCTTACGTTTCTTTCAGATCACTCATATATCATTTCGAACTATACTTTATGGGAACAAAAAATAAGTTAAATTTATACGAAAGCTATGTCCTATTAAACTTCAAATCAGATAGTTCGTAATAGACTTTTTTGAATATCAACCAAGAAAATTTATTTTGCTCGTTCAGGTTGTCTTTTAGCTACTGTTTACATAGAAATAATTGATGCTCTTCCAGTAATAATTGAAGATAATTCTCATTGAGCATATAAATTAATAGAAGACACCCTGAACACTATTTCGTCAGGAATTATTTCATTTATTCTTATATGTCTAAAATTCTAGGGTGTCGATGTGTGTCTGAATAGAAGATCCACATTCCATACGCACACGCGCACCCACTTTTTGACCAATAAGTTTATATTTGATTACTGAGATTTTCGGTTACAGTGCATCTTTTTAATTTCTATTTTTTCTGACGTTTATTAACGGAGCTGACTGATGTTAAGCAAGAATGGTTCTCTTCAATAGAATTAATCTGGTTTTCTGACAGTTGATCAATGGTCGTGAAGGAAGAATTATCGATTTCCATTAGATCATGAAACGCATTCTTGCCATTATTCTTGATACTACCATCACCACCAAGAATTGCATCCACTTTCTCCAATCTTTCTTTAGCTTGTTGTAATTGTTTTCGTTCGAGTCGAACTGACGAATCCTCTGCTAGATAAAAATCGACAAAATCAGCTTGTTCAACAGGAACTTGTCTTAACCGTGCTCTGATACCGGGGCAGATATCAAAGACACACCCAGCACGTAAAGATAATGCTGTATAATCGACGAAACGTTTCAATAATAACTTCCAATACGCAAAAATACTAATCAACATGTCTTGTAGTCCTTGATCGTCATTTGAGATGGCGTCACGAATAGATTTTTCATCGTCGTCATTTTCTACCACTACGGAAGGGGCACTCATTTCACTTGCTTTGATCTGTATCTCGTCGGTTTTACTCTGCCTAAGCCTATTGATAGTATCCGCATAGTAATGGTTTATTGTATAGGGATCATGCTTTTCTAATCGAATCAATTCTTGCACTTGATCATGAACAGCTTGCCGTTTTTCATTCACGTACGACCGAACAAGTTGACGAAAGGCTGGTAACAATTTCAGTAGCAAAATGTCACCGTTGCATGCCTCCTTATCATCTTTTGATAGAAGACGCCCGGTCGTTTGGAAACAATCGTTGATAAGTACCTTGGTCACCTTCCAAAGTTCATCCAGTTTCTCACAAATGAGACCTTTCAACACAGGATGCGGTAAAAAATTGGGTAATTGTTCGCCAAAACACGCGGACATGGCGTCCCGAACTTTGGAGCGATATGCCGGTGAAAACAATTGACACTTTTGAGTTTCAACGATATTTTCAAGTTTCTTAAATTTACCGTGCAAAGTATTGACCATACTTGCACGTCTTCCATCGTTTGAACTGACAAAGCGTACTTGAAGAATGTTTTCGACATAGAAATCCGCCAATTCATAATATTTGGCTAAACGTGCTGAAGCTGTTTCAAGATCCGGTGGAAATTTTGATAATTGCTCACGAACTTCGTTTAATTTTTTATGTATCTCGCTTCGCATTTTAGGAAATATATCTTTGACACGATCAGAATAAAGATCAGCCAAACGATTGATCAATGCATCAATACCTAGAGAATGCCATCCAACCGCAGTCGCAGCAGAATGCTTACGGAAGAATTCTTTTTCACGTTTCCGTGCATCGCCTAAAGAAAGTTTTTCGTCTGTACTACGGTTACGAACAGCAACGAAGCCCAATTTTAAATGAAGGCCATCAGGTCGATCCATTAATAAATGTTGAACCAATGCATCATGATTCGTGGCGAGATCCGATTTGGTGATAACACCAATAGTTCGAATACCCGTTGGATCAACTTCTCGTGCTAATGCGAGTGATTCAACTGTTGCAGCATCTACGTTAGCCGGAAAGACACACAGTATAACACTGCCTTCTTGTCGAATGAAGTGCCGAATCAAGTCTGTTGTCTGTTTATGAATATCTTTGGGCTGATCAGCTATCGGATTTCGTGCTATACCAGGCAAATCTATCACAGTCAAGTCGCGTACCTGAGGATCTTCCACTTGTAATTCAATTAAAGTATGAACAACATTTTTCTGAGCACCAGCTAACTTTTTGGTTTCTTCCTCAATGTATTGTAAGATATTCAGTTTTATTTCATCCAACAGAACCTTTTTATTATCCTCATGCAAACGATAAACCTTTCTTTGGTTTCCTTTACGTAATCGCAACACCAACGGACATCGAGTCACAATACCAGAGCCTTTCGGAAGTTCGACTAGGGATAATGCTTCCAATAGTGTTGATTTCCCACTTGATTGATCGCCAACCACAACAACGTTTGGAAACCTAATACCATCATCGTTTGACGATAAAAGTGATCGAGCTTGATCAATTCTATCCATCAGCGGACGAATCTTTTCATCGTAAGTATTGGTGAACGTCTCCATCGTTTTTTATTCGTCGAATATACTACAAAGATTCAAGAACATCTGATTAAGTCGATAGTTTAGAAGACATCTCTCCTAGAGAATTGTTTATAAAGATAATCATTTTTGCTTTCCTGAAATAAAAATATCATTAAAGAGTGTGATATAGGTCAAGATATATCTATCTGTAGGAGAAACGTTGTCCAAGGCTGTGGAGCAGAAAATCGTTCAATAAAACTTTCACTCATTGCAAGCTCAGACGACCTACGTGAAAGTTGACAATTTGTAACTGCTTAAAAGGGAACAGATAGAATTTAATGTTGAATAGAAAAATAACTGGTTGCCTAATAAAGTTTTTTGGAAATCAGGAATTCGACATTTTCGGTAACAAATTAGATTGTGGCACCTGTATTTAACAGCGAAGTATCCAATTGAACCATATCAAATGCCTTCGTTGCTGAAAAAGTAGATCTTTACTATATTAAATTCGAAAGATGAGTTCAACATGGCTAGGAGAAAATAGGAATTGCATAGAGTTGAGAAATACAAATGCACATCTAAAATGAATTCTATCAATTTGCATGATTATTTCTTCAACAGCGAATAGCTTGCCGTTTTTGCGATTATCATAGCGCGAAGGCAAGCAAAATTATAGAATATTTTAAGGGCCAAAAAAGATAAATGTTACCTACATTCAAAAGAAAAATAGTAAGCGAAATCTGAAAAAATAAGAGGCAGCTGTGTTTATATGTAGTCAGAGCGGGACTCCTATCATTATCCGTTTAAACTTATTATCTACATATTCTGACATCATGCTTTTCCTTCATGATTTCATTAAAACCACTGCTGATCATCTCTAGAAGACATTTATCTCCAGACTCTTATCAAACTTTCACCATGCAAGCCATACCAAGGCAAGATAACGACCAACTCTTTGGTTTTCAGTGAAAAACGAATAAAGAGAAAAATTTGCACATTCGTAAATGTGTGTTTTGTTATTGGGTGACTGGCTGGCTCTTTATTCTCTGATCCTTCATTGTGTAGGTGAGATATGAAGTTTGGATGCGCGCTTGGGTGTTGGTGGATGCGGGGTGCGGGGTGCGGTGTTTGAGCTCACGTTTCGATGTGGGTTTAGATATCGTTCCGACTCACAAGAAGACCAACACATCTGCACCTAGAACCTCAACAACACCCACACGTCAGGATACACTAGAAAGACCATGACAACCGAAACCTGTGTCATTACACTTAATTGAATATTCATGCCAAACGTTATTCAATTATGGTAATACAACACTAATAAGTCATCTTATTCAAAGACATGATATATCAAGGGTGTGGGTGGGGTGTGGGTGGGGTGGGGGTGGGTGTGGGTGTGGGGTGTGGGGGTGGGGGGGGTGGGGGTGG